GACAGTGTTTTGGATAAAGTGAAGCAAAAGTGTGTAGCTGTAATCTCATAAACTTGCAGATCACCACTGATTACATGCTCTAGCAATTATACCCTTCCTGCCAGGGATGTTGTGGCCTGGATGCGGTGCACTGCTGCAGTAGAGGCACAGCCACTCATCGTCATTGGGGATGCCATAGTTCGCAGGGATGCTCCATCAAATGCTCTCCGCAGTATCACACAATGATGCACATACTTAATTCTACTGCACATTGTTCGAAATTTACACAGTATGTTTCGGGTAGAGATTTCAGTTGGTTTGCAAGTTTGTAACAGGTCTCATGTTCAATCACAAGGTCATGTCGTATGCATATAGAACACCAATATCCAACCTGTGAGTCGATAAATGCACCATATGACAAGTCACAGCAAGTCATTTATTTTGTGCTGAACGTAAGTGATCTCGACGATCCTAAGCAAGTCAGTTGTAAATTTTTACTACATAAGAAACATCATGCCGTCAACTCTAAATATTCATGCGCGGATACCAGCCTTGAGAGAAAGAGTCGTTTTGAGAGCCTGGAGAGCGAAACGAATACAGTGGTGAAGAGCCCACAAAAGAGAGACTGCAAAGGCAGAAAAAAATCAATCAGCTCAGCTTGACGGAAATGGAGACGGTACATACTCATCAAAATTGGAAGCCAAAACATGACGAGCATCCGGTCGCCTAGAACAAAGCATCAGTCTCATCATCATTCCAGGTACAGATATAAGACTCACGCCCACGTTGTGCTTTCTGCGTATCCTTCACAGGTCTATAGCCATAGGATTCCACTTCTTGAGCTGGAAGAGAAGCGGTAGCATACCCAATGCGCCTGTTTTGTCTATCGGGACTGCTTGGAGGACGTATGGGTGCGTTTGCATCCAAAGTGCAAGGCTCCTCTACGTGAGACGTCCCAGCTATTGGTTCCTCTGGTTGTACGTCATGCGTCTCTTCTCGTGGTGTATACATCGGAGGCGCTTCTTCAACAGGTACCTGACGAAGAGTCGCAGTCGCAATAGCTAGAGCCATCCATTTTTCCCATGTGGCCTTCAGCTCCTGTGTTGCCCGTGCTGCTGGACGAGTGGCGTTGTCGACGTCTTTCCCTTCACCATCGTCCTGGTGTTCCTCCCGCTTGTCGCCGAGGAACGGCCAGGTAATCGGGACGATGACAGGGAACACCATCGGGATCTGCGGAAGAGCGCCCCAGAGGACAGCAGGCATCTCGGGCAGATGTGGAAGAGGAAGCTGAGGCATGTTAGGCATGATGCCTTGAGGCTGCAGCTGCGCAAGGGTTCGCTGGATCATGTCGACAAAAGATGCTGTCTGTTTCTCGTCCGCCGCATTGTGAGGTATCTTGGTATCTGCGTCTCCACTAGGTAATTCCGGCGTCTCCTGTGTGTGAGCTCCACTGTGCAGGCCTTCAACAGCATCTTGGGTGCGGTTTTCCACAAGTCTACGGAAAGTACGGGTTGGTCGGTGTTTAACGATCACGATTTCACCTTCGTCGCTTTCTACGTCACCCCAGTGGCTTTCACCATCACCATCATCGTCATCTTGACTTTCTCCTTCGGTGCTGGAGATAATGCGGCGCATGGTAATACCATCAAAGAACCCCTCGGGCGCAATGTCCTCTGGAATCTTCCCAAGAACGTTGACAATCTCTAGATCAGCTCCAGCAGCGACCAGCAGGTGCAAGCAAGGCTTGGACAGAGATAGGACGGCGAAATGGAGAGCCGTGTAACCATTCCTGTCGCGCGCGTCCAGGTCGATATCATGCGCAACCAAGAATTTCGTGAGCTCCGCAAAGCCCAAGAATGACGCAAGGTGTAAAAGCGTCTGTCCACCAGATGTCGTATGCGAAAATGCCGTGCTCATGCTAATAGTCGACTGATGGTCGATAGACACATCTATCAAAGAAAGGAACTTGATAATCGTGGCCTCGAAGCCTTCTTTCTCGTCTGAGCGCATAAAGAGCAGTGGTCGCATGTCTCGATAAGACGACGACGGGGCTACTTGCATCGTGTCGTCAGCGATTGAGGGTGTCTGTGAGTCCTCATTTCCTGCATTTCCGACGATACGCATGGCGACGTTCTTCGCGTCCTCGATCTTGCCTGTCATCTTGAGTCCGACGACTTGCAGAGCGAGCTCCATCCTGTGAACGAAATAAGCGAAGAAAAGATAAAAGGCTATCGGTGTGCACATACAAGGCTCTATCTGACTCATCAGTGTATGTGAAGAGAGAAGGAAGAGAGGGGTCATTTGTCTTCTCGAATCCCTCAAACCAAACGACAACGACACCTGGGGCGGCTCGAGGAGGAAGGACACAAACCAAGGTATTATCGCTCCAACGTTGCGTGGAACTTGCGGAGACGTCTCCGAAGACACAGTTAAGTTGTACAACAGGGTGGAAATTCTCGCCAAGGATAGTCACTTCGATACCGCCATGGGTAGGGCCAGAGGCTGGTATAAGGCGGTGGATCTTAGGGAGAGGAAGTGGGGCAACAGGTGGCGATGATCCTGGATTGAAGAAAAGGAATGGTGTTGGATGTGGCGGAAGGAGTTGTGGAAGGGGTCGTGAAATAGGAGAAACGAGAGGCGGTGAGGCTGGGCTCGATAATGGCGATATTACTGGATTGGAAATGAATGGAATGGTGTGTGTGTCTCCTGGCTGTTGAGGTCCATGGCCACCAAATGCAGTTGCCGCGGGAACAGTGCCATTTTCAATTTGAGTTAATGAGAAAGGCGACATGGCCACTGGGGAACCAGATGGCGTAGGAGACCGAGTATCGGACAAGGACGTATGCTGAGAGCCTGAGGGTACAGAGCCAAAGCTGGCTACACTGACCTCTCTGACGGTTTTTACCGAGTTGCTCCTGCTGGCAGTGTCGTATGGTTTGGTTCGCTTCTTTGGTGGACCTTTCACGTCCGCCGACTTGCGTTTCGAGGGCGCACGCTTCTCCACCGGTTCTCCACCCCGTGTCAGCTGCGACCAATCGACTTCGGCTTCAGTCAGGGGATTGAACACAGTACTGGACTTGGTTGTCGACTTGTGGTCATCCGTGATCATAATTGGAGGACTCATTCCCGACCCAACGACGCGGCCTGTGTGATCCGTCATAGTAAAATGGACATGAAAACCGACCTTCTCGCGGTGATGTCTGCAATAGCACGTAATACGAACGGGAAGCACGACAGATCCCATGGAGAAGTCAAGGACTTCAGGGCAATTGAACTGAATGATGCTCGTTGTGTCTTCCATAGTGCCTCTTTGTCGCTCACTACCATCCTCTGGTGTATCTGAGTCAGACCGAGCAGGCCTGACACGAGCGGCAATCTTCCTAGCTACGCGTTTTGCCTAATTCGGGAAAGATTTAGCAAGGAAAGTGATAAGATAGGACACTGACCTCTCGGGTTCTACAGCTCCCGCAGCTTAAAACGCGATTATGTGGAGTCGTAGCGCAAGTCACAGTCGTGGTTAAGTGCAGCATATCCAAGGGAGAGGGGTCTGGCGAATAGTTAGTGTGTGCAATGCATAAACGAAGTATCGCAATCACCTATCTTCCCTTCGCGGCGCGTGCGCTTCTTGGTGAAAGTGCCCGGTGGAAGTGTCAGCCATTTCCAAGAACCCACCCTATCATACTGATATGGTTCTCCTGATGATGAGCTGGCATGTGCCAGGTCCACGGTGACACGCACTTGTGTCTCTACACGAGACTTTGTGCCAGATTCAGGGATATTGGGGGTTAATATAGGGAGGCTTCGCGAATTGAGTATGGGAAGCTGGATGCTCAAAGAAAAAATTAAACACACTTGTAGCAAGATTCCCGTGGAGGGAAGACAACGCGATGAGGAGCAGTAGAAGGGTCCCTTTTGCGGGGACGCGCGGCAGGGGGAGGGACTACAGGTGTGCAGTGCATCTGGGTATGAGGGGGAATGAGATATGCGGGCTCTGTTGAAGGAGTGTGCGTAGTTGATAGAGGGGTGTCGTTTGCTGCGTAGATTGCTGGCGGCTTCAGGCAACCAGGGACGACCTCAGGCAGAACAAGGGAACAATCTGTGGTGGAGCAGGCCGGGCTAAAATTTGAGGGGTGCCATATCAACGACAGCGATCACACAGGAGACTTTAATATGACATACTCCTCGTAGGCGTGCTCATCTATGAGGTCGTCTAGCTGGAGCATTCTCACATTGTCAGGTTTGCTCATGACACTGCGGATAGCCTCGCTCTCCCAAAGACCAGCTTCAGATATGGTCTTCCTTGGTCGGATTGACTGATACCAGGCTGACAGGTCGTGCCCATGATGTATGGCAACTGGATGGGAACCGTCCGAGTTTTCAGGTGTGGCCGGTGATGGAGAGCGAGAATCCATGGTGGTTACGGTGGTGGTCGACATCGCTGACGAGCAGAAAATGCCCAAGAGCGTGTTGGGAGAAAGGGGGACTCACTAAGACAAACTTCAATAAGCGGTCACCGCAGTCCCTGAAATAAAGGATTGGAAAACTAGCCCCAAACGACCCCCGGAAACCCTTCTGATTACTTAATTTTGCTTGAACAGTTCGACGCAGACAAACCATCCGACTGAGTCTCGTCCACCATGAAGAGAGGCGCAGAGAGACAAATAAGCAAGGACGACGACGACGAAATAGAGGTCTGTCTATATTTTATCTCCTTCTTGTCCAGTGACTTGACTTGACTAGGAAGTCGATGACCCTGGCAAGGGTTTCCAAAAGGCAGATGAGTCTGTTCTCACAAAACGACAGTGAGTGCAATGCTACTGAGCTTGCAGTCTCTTGTTTTACGACCTACAGAATACGTGGTTTGCCCAAACGAGTCATGGCTTCAAATAAAGCCTCGTCTTTCGCCGGACTCTCCAATGCACCCCCTTCTCCCGTGGATTCGGTGAGTTCATTTAATCACCGTCTTGCCAATATTATAATGTCCCCTCAGGAAGCCCAGAAATTTGGTGGATTCGCAGGTTTTGGTTCGGGAGCACCGAGCCCTTTCTCATTCACTCCGTCAGCCCCCTCCGCGATCTCAAGTGTCGCGTCTTCCGCATCTGCTGCTACCAAGAGCTTTGCCTCGCTTGTACAATCCGCTAGCAATGCACCTCAATCGCCACCCTCGAGTACTTCAGAAGACGATTACGAAGCAGCACTAAAATATTACAAGTCCGTTCGCGGCCTTAATGTCTCCTTCCTCTCAGCGATCCAAAAGGCCGTTGACCAAGATCCCTTTGTTGACATAGCAGGACTTCTTGAGAGTTACAAGAACCTGCGCACTACTGTACAAACTGACTTAGACAGCACATCCAAAGCCGCTAGTCAGAAGCCAGCACCTTCGGCATCCGCATTTCCCGCACCAAAAGGCTTCTCTGGATTTACTGGGTTTGGCTCATCCTCGTTACCTACGCCACCCACGAATAGTAACACAGATACGGATAAGAGCTCGGGACCCCAAAGTGCCCTTCCATTTTCCACGTCGTCTAGCACGGTCTCGACCCCGTTCTTCAACCATGGTACCAAACCAATTGAAGATTCCTCAACACCGACAGCCACCTTTGGCACATCAGAATCAACGAAGTCGACATTTTCATTTGGAACTAAATCAGATG